TGGGAGGAGGAGAAGGGGGGAGAAGGTACAGAAAATAAGCAGCATTGATGGTATATAGAAAATAGATAGGGGGGAGGGCAAGAATAGTAGGGGAAATACAGAATCTAAAGAACTTAAGACACATGGTCATAAACTAAAGGGGGGGACGGGGGGGTAGGGTGGAGGGTAATTAAGGGGGGAATAGAACAACTGTAATGGCATAATCAATAAAAAAATAATTTTAAAAAACATACCTTCATACCTCTGAGTGACAATTTAAAAAAGAAAGTAATAAAATAAATAAGATCAGACATTTTTTTACAAAGCTTATTATTTAGTAAGGCTCAGTTTGGGCTTCTTTAATTGTTCATCTAAAGAAAATTAACCTTTCTTCTTTCATTACTGAAATACAGTAAATAGATTAGCAGGGGCGGGAAGAAGACTCATTTTGGACAAGGACATGGGAAACAGGCATTCACATGCACTGCTGGCAGCCATACAATGGGATACAAACTTGTTGGGAAGCAAATTGGTAATACTATAAAAATTAAGAACAGCCCTGGCTGGTGTAGCTCAGCGGATTGAACGCGGGCCTGCGAACCACACGATCGTGGTTCAATTCCCAGTCAGGGCACATGCCTGGGTTGCAGGCCAGTTCCCAGCAGGGGACTCACGAGAAGCAACCATACACTGATATTCCTCTCCCTCTCTCCTTCCCTTCCCCTCTAAAGATAAATAAATAAAATCTTTGTAAAAAATGAAGAACAGCCATGCCTTTTGATCTAATATTCCTGCTGTCAGACCTTTCCCTTAAGTATGTAAAGATATAAAACAAGGATGTTCTTCTCTGCATTTCCCCCCTTTTTTGTAAAAGAGGGAAAATGGACATAAGAGAAAACTCCAAGACACTGGCTGCACAAATTTGTGTTAACCCATATTAGAATACAATGCATCAATTTTTATTTAAAGACTTTATTTATTTATTTATTTTTAGACAGAGGGAAAGGGAGGGAGGAGAGAGGGGGAGAAACATCTATGTGTGGTTGACTCTTGCAGGCCCACACCAGGCCTGACCTGGCCTGCAACCCAGGCATGCGCCCTGACTGGGAACTGAATCAGTGCCCAGGCTGGCACTCAATCCACTGAGCCACACAGCCAGGGCCAGTGCATCAGTTTTTAAAAATGGGAAAATATCTTTTATGCACTGTAAGAGGGAGCAGAGTTTGCCATCCTAAAATACCCCGTAAGTACTGATTATTTGAAGTTGGTTGTTTTTTTCTTTTTTTTGTTTAAATACCAGGGAATGTCCTTTTTAGAGATTTGATGGTCTTTTTTTAAAGATTTATTTATTTACTTTTAGAGAGAGGGGAAGGGAGGGAGAAAAAGAGGAAGAGAAACATCAACACATGGTTGCCTCTCACCTGACCCCCAACAGGGACCTGGCCTGCAACCCAGACATGTGCCCTGACTGGGAATTGAACCAGCAACCCTTTGATTTGCAGGCCAGCACTCAATCCACTGAGCCACACCAGCCAGGGCTCACTCACTCAATATTTTATTGAGCACCTACTCCTAGTCAGATACTGCTCTAAGTAGAGATACAACAGTAGATTCCTGTCCTCATGGGACTTAACAGTCTTAGTAATGTATGAGCAGACAGTGCAGGTCAAGTTGTGACAGAAGTGTTCTAAAAGAAAATAAAGCAGAATAAAGTAATAGAGCATGAGGGAAGTGATCTTTTTATTCAGTGGTGAAGGAAGACCATGCTGAGGATTTGCTATTTGAGCAGAAATCTGAGCAAAATAAGGAATAAGCCTAGCAAATACCTGAGGGATGAGCATTCTAGACCAGGAGAGGAAAAGTGAAGACAGTAAGTATAAATAACTCTCATTGCTTTTGAGGGGTTTTGCTATAAAAGAGAAGTAGAAATCTGTGGCATAGCCAGAGGGAGTTACATAATCAAGAGAGGTTTGTTTGGTTTTTTTCTTTTAAAGATGAGGTATATTGTAGCATATCTGGAAACTGATCAGAACAATCTACTAGAAAGGGAAATTTTGATGATGCAAGACAGGGAAGAAGAATTGAAAGGGTAAAGTCTTAAGTAGGTGAAAAGGGATGAAATCCGGGGCACCGGGGAGGGTCTGGCCTTGGGAGCACATATGGATCATTCACGGAAACTGGAAGGCAGGCGGGGTATGTGTTGATCATTGGTAGATTTGGGGCAAGGAGTACACAGATGTTGCTGATTGCTCTTATTTTCTCAGTGAGAAAATTTCTTAGGGAGAATGTGGAAAGAGATACTAGAGTTTGAGGAGAGAGGAAAAGTTGTGAAATAATCATCTGAAAGAGCTAATAAATGAATCAACCAAGGAAATACCGTAGAATTGGCAGGCATCACTGAAGCTCCCATTGGAGTTGTGGTTATAGATTTGCCTGGTGGCTCCTTTTTCTACAGCCAAATTCTGCTTCGTGAGTGCAGACATGGAATGGCAGATTTAACCAGCAAGGTGATTAAGACGGAATGTTGGATTTAATCTAGGTTGGGAGTTTGCCAGACAAGGATAGGGAATCAGGGGTTCTCTGAATCAGGGGTTGAGGGAGTGGTTATGATGAGCCTTAGAACCCAGCTGAGTAACAGGGGAAATGAGGACGCAAGGGATATGATGGAAGACAAAAAAGTAAGAAGGAGTCAAGGACACGCTGGAGTGGAGGAACTAGCTAGAAATGAGGGGAAGCAGAGTTTTCCACCCCAAAATATGCTCTTGGGGATGGCAACTGAATACTTTAGACTGGTTATTTTCAAAAAACAAACTCAGGGAAAACCTTTGACCTTCCCCCTAAAAGCTTAAAAAAAATTAGATAGAGGGCCTGCTTCAGGAAGGGAGCTGTCTTTATAGATTACCATAGTTTATACGAATTAGGTGTGATAGAGAGGCCCGTTTGCTAAAAGTTTGCTAAAAGCCCTCTCTGCGTCCCATGTTAAAGATGGCCCAGCAAATATTTATTTACCAAACATTTGCTCTTCTGTCTCCATGTGAATTGCTTTCCTGCCCTTTCAAGTCCCAAACCACAACCCACTCACCCTTTTTCTTAGCTCCAGAACCTCACAGAAGCCTCAACTGCCCAGGGTGTCTTCAGACCCCACATTCTTTGGAACCCCCATGTGTACATGTGTATAAAATTTGGTTATTTCTGCCTGTTCATCTATCTCATGTGAACTTGATTATTATGCTAGCCAGAAGAATATAGAAAGGTAAGACAAAAATTCATTTTAACTCCCCTACAGAGAAAGAGAATTGGAATGATGGGGTAGAAGATAGAGAAAGGGAGGCTTAAAACTGAGATTTTGGAGGTGGTATGCTTATTTTGGCAATGAGAAAATCTGAAGCATAAACAGAAGAGTGGAATGGTGAGATGCAAGAAAACAGAATTTTTGGAAGTGAGGAGTTCAAGAAATGGGAAAACTCAGGTGTTGGATGAGTAGTCTGTGTGGATACTGAGGTGAGAAGTACCAGCGGAGAGAAGAAAAACAGTAAGCTAGCCCCTGGAGAGCTATAAGGAAGGCAGGAGGTATACGAGCTTCCAAGGAACTGGGCATCTTAGGAAGAAGAAAAGCACTAGGATCTGGAAGCAGCGATGAAAAGCAGAGTTCACTCCTGCACTTTCAGGCCCAGAGGAAGTTGTATTTGGAAGAAAAAACAGTCATTATGTTATTTGACAAAGCTATAGGAAATGCTGTACTTTCAGGAAAGAGTCTAAAGTTTACTGTGAGAAGAGGAAGGGAAAAAGTCTACGAAGTTTAAGGATGTTGGGGATTTTGCAAATGATAGACTATGAGTTTCAGAGACCTGTTTGGTTTTTTTCTTTTTCTTTTTAAAAGATTTTATTGATTTTAGAGAGAGGAGAAGGGAGGGAAAAAAAAGGGAGAGAAACATCAGTGTGAAAGACAAACATTCATCCGTTGCCTCTCATAAGCACCCTGACAGGGGACGGAACCTACAAGCCAGGGTATGTGACTTGAAAGGAGACCAGTAACCTCTCACTTTGCAAGATGACGCACAACCAACTGAGCCACGCTAGTCAGGTCTGTTTGTTTTTCTCTTAAATCTATTTTCACACACTTTTATGTGCCTGTGAATTTTCAGAAAAAAGGTAAAAAAAAAACCTACTAGCAGCCTTGGATGGTGTGTCAATGAAGAGTAGATGAAATTTAAATCCCTACTCTGTTCAGTGAGGAAAGAAGGAATGACCTTGTCAGGCGCCTTATCAAGGGTATTCCCAGAGGGTGGGAGGTCACCGTTGATCACTGATATTCTATGACTACATGAACTACGGTAGGCTGTGGGGCTTGGGTATGTCAGACAAACTTCTTCCCACAGCTGGGCCTCAGTTTCCATTAATTGTTAAGTAAGGAACAGAGGCCGTGTTTTCTCTTGCCCTCCCAGCTCTGATGCTTTATGAACCTCCTAGAAGCAGCTCTGGGGCCAGCCCCATGAAATGAGACCAGAGAGGCACCAAGCAGGCACAGGAATCTAACAGCATCAGGAATCTAACAGCATCTTCTTCTTAAAAAAAAAAAAAAAAAGATTTTATTTATTCATTTTTAGAGATGGGGAAGAGAAGGAGAAAGAGAGGGAGAGAAATATCAATGTGTGGTTGCCTTTCGCATGCACTAGTACTTGGGGACCCGACCAGCAACCTAGGCATCTGTCCTGTCTGGGAATCGAACTGGTGACCCTTTGGTTCGTAGCCCACGCTCAATCCACTGAGCTACACCAGCCAGGCTAACAGCGTCTTCTGATGGCAGCACAAAGCCCAGTAACACACTTCCCCTCAGACAGTGTTACCTAGTTACACACACACCAAGGAAGAACACCCAGAACCACTTACACAAGCAGTCACCTACACCCTTCATCACAACACATCTGTGGTCACATTATCATACCTAGCAATATCATGTCACACGCAGTGTCCCACAGCCACTGTCTCCCAAAACCTCAGGCCCAGAGACCCACACCTACCTTGAGCAGGTGAGGCAACTGCTGAGTGGCCAGTTCCTTAAACTCATTGATGCTGAGGCTGCCCTTCCGGCCCTCTCGCCCTGCAAAGGTGAAGAAGGTGGTGACTACTGTCTCGATGGCTAGCTCCAGCTCAGTCAGTGGCTCTGCCGCCATTAGGACCCTGGGACTGCAACTGATGGCCTCACAGCGCTGACCTGCCACCAAAGAGTAAGGAGAGAAAGGGAGACTCAGGATAGGCCGGTGTGCCCCTGCGCTGGCCCACCGCCTCAGCCTCTGCCTGGGGGAGGCATTGGGCAGGAGGAAGCAGGGGGCAGGGATGGCGCTTGGGGCAGAGGAGCTCCTCGGTGTAGATGGGAGAAGCGGTATTCACTTCCAGACCCCTTCCTCCTCACAAGCAATCTTCTGAAATGCTTGTGTCTTAAGGACCCCTCTGTGGTGGTCCCTCAGCCAGCAGACGCCCCTCTCAGAGAGAGGCTTTCAACCTCAGCCTGGTCTTTAGAGCCCTCTCAGTCTCCTGGCCCCTCGGTGGAGTTCAGTCGCATGGGTCCTTTTGTGGCCTCAGAGAGCCAGAAGGTTGGCTGTCGCCAAAGCTCGTTTTGTTTGCTCGGGAACCTGGGTCCTTACCCGCAGGCACTCCGCCTACTCCTCCCAGCAGAGCTGCAGGAATCTGGCAAATGCCCGGCTGTGGTCAGGGCAGGTTCCTTTAGGCCGGACCCGCCCCCGGGTGGCCCCTCCCTGCTTCCACACAGGGACAGCTGGGCAGTGCACAGGGCCCACCGGACCTCCCGCCCATTTCCGGGTGACAGCGGTCCTGGGTGGGCCTCTCCGACTGCCGCCTCCGTCAGGGCACTCGCAGCCCCAAGGCGCGGGGAAGGCTTGATGTAGGGGATGTGCCCACTAATCCTCCCTTTTCAGCCATCCCCCTACTCTCCCCCAAGGGACTGTGGCCTCTCCACAAGCTACTTCCCAATCTGAGCGGCCTCCTGGGGAGGGACCTGGGATCCCCAAGAGAAAAAAGGCTCCCCATGCCCTGACCTGCTTGGCTCAGTTGGTTGAGCGTCGTCCCACAAACGGCCACCAGTTCGATTCCTGGTCAAAGCACATGCTTGGGCTGTCCCCGGTTGGCGCACAAGAGGCAGCTGACCGATGTTTCTCCCTCCCTTCCCTTCTCTCTAAAAATAAATAAAATATTTTTTAAGAAAAGGAAAAGGATCCCCATGGTCCCTTCAGAGTTAGGGGGACTCACCGGGACTAGTCACCGAGATGGGTTGAAGCGTGCGGAGATAAGGTTTACAAGCCTGTCAGGCTGGGAGGCAACCGCTCCCAAGCCCAGAGGTGTCGAGTTTCCTGGTTGATTCTGAAGATGGGAGACGCCCAAACGGAGGCGGGGGCAGGGGGGAGGCTGTGGATTGCCGATGGAAAGAACCAACAGGGGGAGCACCAGGAGGCCCAATCTGAGAAACACTCGTCTCAGAATGAGATCCCACAAAAGACCCTGCAGCCCAACATCAGCCCCTCAGAAGATTCCAGACAGAGACCTCACAAATAGGGGAATCAGAATGAGACCCCAGATTGAAATCCCTCAGTGGGGTCTCATATTGAAACCTCTGAGGGAAACTTCCAAAATTAAATTATTCACTGAGGGGTCCCCCACTGAGACCGCCTCGGTGGGCTCCCCCCTTCCCTGCCTAGCTGGTGACAACTGGGTACTGTGGGGTATGAGGGGCTCTCAGTGTCCTTCCTAGGACCTTCCCGCCCCCACCCCCCGCCACCCCCCTTCCTCCTGGGCCCTGCCTGCTGGGGGCCAGCAGTGGGGGAGACGCGACCAAGACTGGAGAAGACACAGGGCAGCTTGTTCCAGCACAGAGGGCGCCTCTGTCCACTCCTGGCCCCTTGCCCCACTGGGTGTCTGTGAAGGGGTGGAGCTGGTGAAGAGGTGGGGTCAGTGGGGGAAGGAGGACTGAAGACAGGTCTCCCGACACAGCTCCAGTGGCCACATTTCAGCCTTGTCTGTCTGTCCAGAACCTGCTCCCACCTCAGGTCCAGGCTGACAGTGAGTATCCTGCCCCAACCCTGGCCAGCTTAGGGGAAAGGGGACTTCGGCGGGGGTCCAAGACTTTGGGGACAATGGCATTGTGGTGCACTGAGGTGAGGGTCTGGGAAGAGTTTGGATGATGGCAGTTCGGGACTTGGGGGAGACAGGAATTGGAGGTGAGTGAAGGTCAGAGGGCTATCTGGGAATGAGGTAAGCAAGGAAGCCTGAGGGTAACCCAGCCACCGAGCTTCCAAAAGACCAGCCTCTCCTAGCAGGGAGCCCTCAAGTGCTCTCCCAAGGCTCCCTCAATCTCCCGGGTCCTGGAGATGGGACCCAACCCTTGGCTCACTTCCCGTAAGGTAAGACTGTGCAGATGGAACAGCTGTTTCTGCCCACCCCCCTGCAGTCTCAGCCTCTGCCACCCCCACCCAGCTTTGCCAAGATCTCAGGGCCCAGGGAAGTCTGGGGGTGGCAGAGCACGGACCATGAAATTTCAGGAACAGGGGGCAGTGGGGTACTATACCCACTCCCAGCTCTCACTTCATATAACCTCCCCTTTCTCCTCCTCCTCTTTCTTTGCCCAGACCTCTAGATTCCTCTTCCCCCCAATTCTTTTTTGTTTTGCCCTCTTCCTCCTCCCTGCCAAGATCCTCTCAGAACTGCTCCTACATAAAATACCTGGCTGCTCAAGAGCTCCAGGCAACCTCCAGGTGCCCCTCCTGGAGGGGCCCAGTAACTTAGCCACCGGCAACCCTCCCTCACATGCCCCTTATCCCCTCCATCAGCGGGGCTTGGATTCCATCTCCCCCATGTCTCTGTGACAACCACTTCTCATGTCCGGAGTTCAGGTGACACTCACAAGGGCCCCATTGAAGAGCTGGGATGTCATTTGATCAGGGCCCATTGTCCAGCCCCTCAGGCCTGGGACAGGATGGGGACACCTGATCTGAGATACCTGAGCTGCCCCCTGAGGCTGTGGAGGAGTTGACTGTCCCAGGACCAAGGGAAAGAGCCCCCTGGCTTGGCAGTTTCCTCTCCTCAACAGACCCCTACATTTTTCTCCTCCTCTCTCCCAGACCCTTGAACTCAAAAGTCCCTCATCTCTCCCAATGCACACCAACCCCTTCTCCCTGCTGCTCCTGTCCCCACATCTACCAGGCCAGGCCCTTGGGATAGGAGGGCTGGCGGCAGAAGACACAAGTCTCCTCTCCTCTTCCCTGGAAGCTCTGGCTCCAGGGCAAAGGCTCAGACATTCCTCTCTCCCTTCCCACCACCACCCAACAGAAGGGCTGCTTCTGCAGAGGAGTAAAAGGAACCAAACTAGAAATAATAGAGGCATGCCCTGGGGAGCCAGTGTGCCATCTTCAGGACAGAACAGGGTTGAAGGACCAAAAGAGGCCCCTGGTCTGCTGACAGGAAGCTCAGAGGCAATGAGACTCTCTCCCCCATGAACCCTGGGCCACCCACTCAGGCTGGCGCCTTCTCCATCAGGTGTCCAAGGGCACCAGACTGACTCCTTGCTAGGGGTGGCAGCAGAGTCTATAGAGAGGAGCCCAGCCCACCACACCCAACAGCAGAGCTTGGCTATGCTTGGCAAGCAATGTCCAGAGTAAAAATAGAGCCAGAGGAAGACTGGCTGGGTCCTATGACCACCCCTGCCTCCCTGCCTGCCTCCCACACCCTCCTCAGAGTCTGCTCAGGCAGTCAGGAGACGCTGCAAGATCCACTGCAGGTCTCCAGAGCCAACCCTGCTCCAGCTGTTCTACCTCCATGCTCTTAACCGTGACTCCCTCTGGCTGGAGGAGTATGGACTGTGGGACACAAAGAACAGCTGTGGACTTAGATATATTTGGGTTCTCCTACATCATAAAATCCCAGTGAGAGGTAAATTGCAATGGCGATGGGACTCCAATCTCATGGCTATTTGGGCTGTGGGACCAGGGCCAGGTCTGAGGGCTCCCCTCATCCTGACCCCAGATATCCTGAACACGGTTCCCAGCTCACTTCCATGGTGGGGGGTGGGTAGGTGAGCTGCGCAATGGGTTCTGAGCTGGAGACAGCGATGGAAACTCTCATCAATGTGTTCCACGCCCACTCGGGCAAGGAGGGGGACAAGTACAAGCTGAGCAAGAAGGAGCTGAAAGAGCTGCTGCAGACCGAGCTCTCCGGCTTCCTGGACGTGAGCACAGGGCCAGGGCGGGGGTACAGGGTGGACTGGGTGAGGGGTGGGGGAACAGAGTGGGCATCTCCTTGCCATCTCCCCACCCCCTCCCAGCACAGCTCATCCATCTCCTTACTCTCTTAGTTCAAGTCAAAAGGCCCTGATATATTACTGATCACCTGTTAAGTGCCAGGCCCTCTGTAAACGCATCAATAACAAGGCTCACAGTCTAGAAGGAAAAGACTGACACTTGAATGTGAAGCCTGAACACCAGGAAGCACACAGAACCTCAACAGAGGTGGCAGAAAAGATTATGGGAGAATATTAACCTGGCTGAAGTGGGACAGCTTCTCCAAAGATGTGGCACTTGAGCCATAGATTTCCAATGGAAGATTATTAGGATAAATGTAGGCATTTCAGAAGGTGTCTGCATGAATAAAAGCATGGCAGAAAGGATATGCAGCTTGCTCAGTAGTTTTGACTGGAGTGAAGGATGTAGAAAAGGAGGCTAAAGGAGAAGTAGAAAGGCAACAGCTTTGAGGTTTTATTAAACCTGGGTTCAAATTCTAGCACTGCTACTTTCTAGCTGTGTGGCTTCAGACACATTTAACCACAAACTGTCCATTTGTTTCTTTTTTAGAATGAGAATAATGAAATCTACTTCATACTGTTTGTATTAAAATTAAATTAGATAATACTTATAAACTCCTGGTACAGTGCTTATCCCATTGTAGGCACTCAACATATAATAACTAATGTTATTACTCTGCCTTTTTGAAGAGCTTATTCTGTAGGCAACAGGAGGCCACAAGTGTTAGTTTTGAGGAGGGAAGCAGAAGAGTCCCATTAGATGTAGTTCTCCTTGCTTATCTATGCCTCCCTCTCCCCAACCAACCATCCCCCTTCCCTCTGATTTAGTTCTATACGACTCTATACAACTACCCCTCCATCTCCTCACTTCACAGGCCCAGAAGGATGCGGATGCTGTGGACAAGGTGATGAAGGAGCTAGACGAGAATGGAGATGGGGAGGTGGATTTCCAGGAGTATGTGGTGCTGGTGGCTGCCCTCACAGTGGCCTGTAACAACTTCTTCTGGGAGAACAGTTGAGCGGACAGCCCCAGTGGGCAGCGCCCTTCCCCTCTGTACTGCCATACCTGCCCCTACACCCTGCTTTCCTTTCACTCCACTTTTCCCTCCCCACAATCCCACCTTTGCCCACCCTCCAACAAGGGCGCAAGAGTAGTGGGTCAGTCCTGCAACTCATCTTTCATTAAAGGCTCCTTTCTCGCCAGCTGCTGTGTCTCCTTTGGACCCTGGAAGTGGGTGGGAAGTAAAGGTGGCTCTCTCCCAACTTGCCTAATTTGGGGCAGGACCTTGTTTGAAAAGAAGTCAAGGGACCATTACATCTTCCTACCCGAGGAATGCTCAAGGCCCAGGAAGGTAGGGGTTCAAAGTTCCAGCTGGAAGTGGATGAGACCTTAGTTTCTCAGCTACAAAGCCAGAAAAAGAATTTCCCTTCAACCTTCAAAGAATATTTAGAGGATCTCCCATGTGCTAGACATTGTGTAGGAACATGGGATAGAGCAGTGAACAAAACAGACACAACGCTTACTCTCATACAGGTAAACTCTAGTAAGGGCACCAGGCCACTAAACCTACACACATAAATGCTAGGAAGGAAAACAAAAGGATTCAGACGGCATATATAGGGGTAAGGGTAGGGGGGTGTGGAAAGGTTGAAGATGTGTTCATTCACTTATGCATCAAACATTTAAGCATTTTGTGTACCCAGGCTTTAGAAAAATCCCGTATATGTCTGTATCAAAACCAACATGGATGGCAGATAGGGATCTTAGCCAAATAAGAATTTAACAATATTCGAGCCAAGTTGGGGAGGGGAGAAAGTGAAGAAGAAAATACTGACTGGGCTGTGGAAACTGAAGCAGAATCCAGTAGATATGAGCTGTGTGCACTGGCCCCCCACAGGCCTTGCCTAGGGCCTTCATGGCATTCCACAACTGTGAATGAGAGCAAATGTGAAAGAGAGCAAATGAGAATGAAGAAAGGAAAGCTGATGCAAATTACCCAATCCCAGTGGTCCCTTAGAGAGACCAATGCCAGTCCCATATAAAGAACTTTTATCAGCCCTGTCTGGCATAGCTCAGTGGGTTGTGTGTGGGCTGCAAGCCAAAGGATTATTGGATTGTCAGCTCAATTCCGTCAGGGCACATACCTGGGTTGCAGGCCAGGTCCCCAGTAGGAGGCACTCAAGAGGCAATCACACATTGATGTTTCTCCTTCCCTCCATATTTTGGCCCTGGCTGATATAGCTCAGTAGATTGAGCACAGGCTGCAAACCAAAAGGTTGCCAGTCTGATTCTTGGTCAGGGAACGTGCATGGGTTCCTGGCCAGGTCCCAGTACAGGGTGTCCAAGAGGCAACCACACATTGATATTTCTCTCCCTCTTCTTCTCTACCCTTCTCTCTAAAAATGAATAAATAGATCTTTTTAAAAAGTAAAAATAAAATAATTTTAGACAGTATACCTTAGCCTGGAACCTGGCCAGGAACGTGAAATCCCTCCCAGACCCAACTGCGAGGCCTTGGCCACGCCCCTTCATGACCTAGGAGCACTCAGATCCGGACTTTACTAAACGCCAGCCTACTCCCTAGGACTCCGCTATTCCTGCGCAGGCGTAACACAAATCTTCTCATCTCCCCCCCCCCCCCCACCCACCTCGTTGTGCGCGGGTCTGACGTGTGACGTAAGTGGCGCCGACTCCATTTTAGCCGGTCCCACTCCGCACTGGGCGTGGCGGCCATTTTGTTTGGGCACCGAGCGGGAGTTGGCGGTAGTGGCTGTGGTGACACAGACGAAAGACAGGAAAGGGCAGGCCAGGTGAGCAGGTGGACCGGTTGACCAGACAGCCAGCCAAAAGCAACGAACTAACCTAGCAGTCCACCGTTCACACATCTAGCCAACCGCCAAACAAGTTAACCCGAAGCCCCTCCACCATCAACTCAGGTTCGGCCGGCTTCCGGCCCGCCTTCCGCAGCAGTCGTGGCAGCCCCGGGAGGAGCACTGGCGTCCTTTTCCTTCGGTAAGTTTCTACAGTGAGAACGAAAGCCTTGGGGAACAGAAGGGGCTGGCTCCTGGAGCGGTGGTGGGCTGAGGAAGCGTAAACGCTGCTGGAGTGTGGAGGCCCCGGGGAGGGGGCGGAGCCCTGGGGGGAGACGGGGGCGGGCCTGAATTGGAAACTGGTGGCGGGACTGCTCGAAAAGGTTGGTATTTGAAATGGATAGAAAGGAGAATGGGTAGATTGAGCAGTTGGTGGTCTTGTCAGGGCTTTGAGATGGTAGGGAGATGAAATGAGGATTACAGGACTTTGGGGAACGTTAGGAAGTAATTGCGGCTTTAGGGTTAAATTTCGTAGAGCGGTGTGGGGTAAAATTCCCAGGTGAGTGCCCCATTAGGAAACTTTGTCTGCTCCCACCACCAGGTCCTCAATCCCTTGCTCAGGCCCCTACCTGATTTTGGAGTAGAATGTTAGTTTTGAAACGGTATGCCCGTGTCATCTCTAGATGAATGGTTCTTGATTTCGGCTGCAGGGACCCACCCCGCAACTTTGACTATGGGTCGATCTTGTGGGAAAACGCTTAACCAACTGAACCACACGGATCAGGGCCGCTTCTGCACTTTTTTTAAAAGATTTTAATTATTAGTACTGGCCAGTGTAGCTCAGTGGTTTGAGCGCGGTGCTTCGAACCAAAGGATGATAGCGGTTCGATTCCAGTCAGGGCACATGCCTGGGTTGCACGCCAATTCCCAGAAGGGGACCCATGAAAGGCAACCATACACTTATATTTCTCTCCTCTCCTTTCCTTCCCCTCTAAAGATAAATAAATTTTAAAAACTTTACTTATTCGAGGAAAGGAGGGAGAAAGAGGGAGGGAAACATCAATGCGTGGTTGCCTCTTGAGAACACCCTGTTGAGGACCTGTCCCGCAGCCCAGGCATGTGCTCTCACTGGGAATCAAACCTGCGACCCTTTGGTTCTCCGGCAGGCACTCAGTCAAATGAGCCACACCAGCCAGGGCTACTTCTTTACTTTTTAAAGAGCTACTTGCAGCCAAGGTTTTTGAGAAAGGATATGCTAGATGAAAAACCAAACTTTTAACACTTCCTTTGGTTAGGTCTAAGTCTGCCGTTTTGGAGGCTTTGGCAGATTATTTTCTGTTTTATGCCGTGCCCTTAAAGTATATTTGACAGAACTAGCTTAAAAACATAAGCACCTGAAGTGAATTTAGTGTGCCCTTAAGTAGTCTTTGATACAGGCCTCTCATTCATTATTGGTTTGGGCCTTTGGCCCTTGTAGAAATAAGGTCGTTGTTTACTTTGATTTGCTCATTCTGCCTATTGTCCTTTGTAGATCCTCGGGATTTGAAGATGGCTGCACAGTCAGCGCCGAAAGTTGTGCTAAAAAGCACCACCAAGATGTCTCTAAATGAGCGGTGAGGCAGCCAACAGCAACTTCAGCTCATTGATAAGAAAACATTACTTAAATTGGCCCTGGGGTCCAATGCACAAAAACCAGTTTTAAAGTAAATACCAACAGAAGGCTACAGACCTCTGTTCATAGTTGCATCTTATTTATGTGGTACACAGAGCAAATTGGGCGGTTGTTTCAAAACCCCTTATCAGTAGATTTTTATGTTAAGCTGTCTGAAATATTAATCTGTTGGGATGTATTTTAAAAAGACTCCTTATACCCTCCCTTTTCTTCACATTTTTTTAACATTGATACAGGGATGGTGCAGCTTGGTAGCACAGTACCCTGGCTGCAGTAGGCTTGCTGCCCAGTCCAAGGCCAGCAGTGTTGTGTCTGGCCTGTAAGAGGCAGGTAGCAAGCTTTAAATATGTCCAAAGGCCCTTGAATGCCATTCTTGGGCCTTGTAAGAGGCACTTGCTTTTGCTCCATTTCACTTTCTTTCCATTCTGCTTTTAGTTTGTTTTTGTTTTGGATTCTCTTACAGTTAAGTGTTGTTCTTTTTCATTCTATTAAACTTCCTTTTTTTGTGGAGAGACACATTGATTTGTTGTTCCACTTATTTCTGTACTCATTAGTTGAATCCTGTTATGTGCCCTGACCGGGGATTTAACCTGCAACCTTGGCATATCAGGATGATGCTCCAACAACTGAGCTACCTGGCCAGGGCTAAAAGAGTGTCTGCACCAGCTTTAAACAGTTGAACTAATTAACTTTTTCAGAAGTAATCAGTTGAAGTCAGAAAAACTAATCATTTGAGACTAAGAAAAGCAAAGATATTCAAAGGCAGTTTGTGTCAATGAGAGTTTGTTGAGTGCCTTTGACCAGTGATTTTAGTAAGTTGATATTCGACCATTATATATTTTCACCTTTTCTGAAGCATATTTGCTCCTTTTCTCTTAGGGTATGATACACTAATTCTTCATCTTCAGATAACTAAGCAAACATATATAAGAAAATATGCACTCTCGTCTTACATGGATGCATTATTTTCTTAAGTTTTGGAGGTGCTCTAGTCCTTATATTTGCCCTTAAAATGCACCCTCAGTTCTCCAGGGTTTTGGCTTTCTTCGTTTGTCTTTGAAACTACATCTCCTGTCTCGTGTTGTCACCATATCTGCTTATTGCGTGTATTTCATACCTTCCACCTCTCTAAAGGCTGTTACTTGAACCCTTGTTATCACTTTTGATTGAATGTGCTGCACTTAGCTGCATTTCTAAGTTTCTGATTCTTGCAAGTTTGTGGAAGCAGAGGAGTCTTTCACCCACATCAACCTTGATCTAAGTGTACCACTTTACTTAAAAGTTCGTGGGATCTGGAGTTCCTGGTCTAGCAAGCCATGAAAATGCCAATAAATGTTTTATAATAAAGCTTTTATTTAAACATCCATTTTGTTCGACCTTGAAGCTTTACTAATATGCTGAAGAACAAACAGCCGATGCCAGTGAATATTCGGGCTTCGATGCAGCAACAACAGCAGCTAGCCAGTGCCAGAAACAGAAGACTGGCCCAGCAGATGGAGAATAGACCCTCTGTCCAGGCAGCATTAAAAATTAAGCAGGTGAGAGAACAGGTCTTAATGTTCCAGAAGCAGCTGGTGATCTCTGTCAGGCAGTCCACTAAGGCTGTCAGGAGTGATACCAGGTGGCTCAGGGCAAAAGCTGAAACTTCTCTGGAAGAAAGAGAAGTTTCAGAGAATTCCCATTTGGCAGGTACCAATAAATAACTTCTTGTTGTCTTTCTCTTTTAGGGAGTTTGCCATCAGTGTGGCCTGTTTCTTTGTTATCAGTGAATGTTAATCTGTTATTTTCTGATCCCTTGCCCTTCAAATTCACTGGCTTTTTCCACAAAGAAATTCTAATTCTGCTTTAGAATGACCTTTAAAAAATCCTTTATTCCTTGTTAAATGATTTACAAATTAGGGAAATGATATTATTATTTCTCACCTAGTCTAGGGAGTCTGAATGGCCTTAGTTAATGGCTTTTAGTGCTGAAATGTAGGGTGACCCTCATTTCCACAGCAGCTAAAGTTTTCTCCGTAGAGCAAGAGCACTGAGTAATTAAAAGTTAATGGGTTCTCTTTCAAATTTTCAGTAGGAGATAATCCTATTCAGACCTGAAATAAAACCTGCTCTTTATTATTCATAGACTTTTTATGCAAGTCCGGACAGTGGCTGTGGAAGGATATGTCCAAGCTGTGGCTGGGCGTCTGGAGGGCGGTGCCATGCAACTGTAAGGACTTTAACTGGTAGCACTGCATGGCTGTGCATAAATTCAGCAGTTAAATATAACCCTCACCCAGAACTGTTGGGCTCACTCACCAAAAATAAACAAGGCCTTCTGCTTCAGCTACCTTAAGCCTTGGAGTGACTGCGTTCGTCCCTGACTCAGGAAAGTAGTAAAAGGCACCACCATTTTCTAAGAATAAATACAAAAATTGCTGAAGATATGTCTTTGACAGATTATTCCAAAGGATCTTTTAAGAAGCTTTAAATGCAGAAATAGCCTCTAGAGTGGTGCTGTCCAACAGGACGTTCTACAGTGGTAGAAATGTTCTATATTTGTGCTCTGCAGTACGGTAGCTGCTAGTCCACATGTGACTTCTGAACACTCAGAATGCAGCTAATGAAATTGAGGGACTTGATTTTGTTTTTATTGTTATTTGAATAGCCACATGTGGCTAGTTGCGATCTTTGCAAGCAGAACAGCTCTAGAGTAGAAACTGGATGGCAATAGTGGACATCCTTAAGCTTCCCCGTGTTAGAGACCAGTTTTGGTGGTAGATAAAGCTTGGGAAAGGAAAATATTCTCAGGATGATGGAACACAAATGACATGTAGAATGAGGTATGCTGTCAGGGGAGTGATGTAACGGGCTATCATGATTGCCTACACCTGCTCACACGAGGCGCATAGTGTTCAGAGTCTGCCCCTCCGATTAGAAAGAGTTTATGATCTTGTGCAAGAAAGCTAATAATAGCTTAGAACATACAGTTGCAAAAGAAATCATTGGTAGTTGCTTATGGGTAAAGTCTGAGGGTACATAGAATTTATTTTCATTTATATTGACTGATGGGTTATAGGAAAACAGGTTTGCTAAGGCCTTGGTTGTGTTCAAGGCTACACAGTTACCTTCTTTGAAGGAATTTAATCATTTGCAATGTGGTCTTCATTGTTTTTCTTTTAGGGACAGATTATTGAAAATCTTCATCTCTGGTATGTCCTTGTCCTCAAGTGTGGCCCTGAGTTTTGTGAATGTAGTCTGTCGTTACGCTAATGCAAATTTGGCTGGCTCTAGAGATATATTTGAGCTGTATGTTTATTTTGAATTAAAGGTCTTTACACTAATTTAATGGTGCTGTTTGCAAGGGTAGAGATGGAATTGTGGCTGTTTAAGAAATGTAAGAAAAGGAAGTTTGGCTTTTTTGTGTTTGGTTACATCATGTGGTAGAAAGTAGACTACATACTCAGGAAAAATGGAACTCACTGAGAAATCAGATGTTGTTCTTAAGTCACAAGAAGTCAGGTAAACTTTTCATTTAAATTTTTCCCAGAGTGTGATGAACTTCCTATGGCGTTTGAGTAAACTTTTGAAGAGAGTGGTAGTTTTTAGGCAGGTATGAATCAAGTCATACGTTGTCAACTCGTGGTTTAAAATCAACAGAATCAGGATTTGAAATAGTGTCCTCATTAAAACCTAAGTTTCAAGCAGTGGTGTATGACTTTGCCAAACTAGCAAGATAATTTGTGGTGATGCCAACTTCATGGGGCCATACTCAAGCTTCTTAGAAGCTCAGTCAAAATTCTTTTATACTGTGTTTTGAGGCGCAGGCCTGCTTCTGGTGTAGTACCCTTATGATACCCATAACAGGTTTAAATGCCTCACACAGACATCTCACTGGCTTCCTTTTCTCTGCACTTTGAGTTACCACATTCCACTGGATTGCTTTTTTTGATCTCAATTCCCCAACACCTTTTCTTCCAGAAGAGCTTAAAGCAGCGCCTGGGTAAGAGTAACATCCAGGCACGGTTAGGCCGACCCATAGGGGCCCTGGCCAGGGGAGCAATCGGAGGACGAGGCCTGCCCATAATCCAGAGAGGCTTGCCCAGAGGAGGACTACGTGGGGGACGTGCCACAAGAACCCTACTTAGGGGCGGGATGTCGCTCCGAGGTCAGTGCTGCGTACCTGATAATGGTTGGGTCTCACCCTGTTTGTTTTTCTCTTGGGCTGCTTATGGACACGTTGGTTTAACATCTTTAAGCCTAAATTTGTATTAACATAATAACTTGAAATCACATATATTTAATAGTGCTGCATGTCCTTTTATCAATACCATTTCTTTTCTGATAATGTGCAGTGGTGAGAGACTATGACCTACATAACAACTGGTAATCCATGTCATCTTCATTCCATTTTAAAACACCCTGCTGCTGCTTGAATTAAAGCACATTCAAGTTCTAGAAATAAGTCATGTCTAAGAAATGTATGGGTCTCTTGGCCTTTGTCTTAACCAATCATCTCTTTTCCTGGTGCTAGCGAAATACATTTGTGAAAAAGAGAAGACAAGTTGACCCATAACACTTAACTATGTATTACATTTGGGGCACTGTTTTACCATTCCCTGTATAGTTCTTGGCCCCTATAAGAGTTTTTTGAGAGCAGGAACCATATCATTTATTTGTAAATCTGTTGTAATATTAGGTGCCTGTCTGATTATTCAACAGATATTTACTAAATGTATGTGCTTACTGATTACTTTAACTCCTCCCAGGTTCTTCCAAAAATGGATTTTTGGTCAGACTTGTTGAATTGATTGAATAAAGAGCATCTTAATCTATTCACACTCAGTATGCAACTTGCCCCACCCAACCTAAAAATTACCTGAATTAACTCATCTAACCCTCACCACCTTCCTTTGGTTAGAATCTACTTTGTCTCTCTTGGACTTACCTGCATATACATTGTATGCCTCCTCTCCAAGGTCAAAACCTGCTCCGAGGTGGACGAGCCGTAGCTCCCCGAATGGGCTTAAGAAGAGGTGGTGTTCGAGGTCGTGGAGGTCCTGGGAGAGGGGGCCTAGGGCGTGGAGCTATGGGTCGTGGCGGAATCGGTGGTAGAGGTTAGTCAGCTACCAACTTCAGAGAGTAGCTCCCTCTTATTTCTCTCCCTTCAAAACTCAGAGCCACCTTTCTGCACAGCTTTAAGTCATAGGCAGGCTTATTTGTTTGTCTTGTTTTGTTTTTTGAAACTGGCTTACTTTCTGAATTCACGTGGTAGTAGTGCAAAAGTCTGTCGTGGGTTTTCCGAGAACTAGTGAGGTACATGAGATTGTATTATTAAAATGACAGAGTGGTCAGTTTGGGGTTTTACCTTACTCTGTCCCTGCCCCACCACCACATACAACCCACCCCATAACTCAGAACCCCCCTTTTAAATCTTAAGAATCCAGAAGAGGAGGATGTACAAAAATGAAGCAGGGTTAAAGATAAGGATAGTGAGACTTGGAGCTGGGTAATGACTCTGAAACCAAGTAAATCCAAGGTAAAGTTGTACCTCTAGGAAACCAAGGATGACCTTTTTTTGTTTGTTTGTTTGTTTGTTTGTTTGTTTTGTTTTGTTTATTTTTAGAGAGAGGGGAAGGGAGGGACAGAAACACCAATTGGTTGCTTCTCACACACACCTCAACCAGAGACTGGTCCACAACCCAGGTACATACCCTGACTGGGATTTAAACCAGTGACTTTTTTTTTTATCAAGGTAGAAAGCAATATGGCACTACCATATTTTGCCATGTATAATGTGCACTTTTTGGCCCAGATTTTTTAGGGGAAAATAAGGGTGCACACTATACATGGGTATAATAATCTGTGCATAATGTGCGCAGAACCGTGGGTGCACATTATACACGGGCACAAAATCCCATATGTCAGTTAACTGACTGACTTGTTAATAATCTTTTTTCCTCCTTTTAGTTTAGGATTAGATTTAATTAGCATTTTAATGAATCATGTTTTTATTACCTTTTAGATCCCTTATATCTTTCTCCCCCCATCACATTGATAATACTTACCTTTGAGACTTAATGATAATTCTTTTGTGACCTCATGACCCAGATTGGAGGAGTTTAATGATATTGCTGTTAAAATGCCAAGTCTCAGGAGTTTTGTGGCATAGAGTTTAGCAGAAAACTCCCAACAGCACCTGTCCAAGAAAAAGAAAGGATTTTTGTTTGTTTTTGTTAAGATTTTATTTATTTATCTTTAGAGGGGGAAGGGAAGGAGAGAGGGAGAGAAGTATCAATGTATGGTTGCCTCTCGTGCATCCCCTGCTGGGAACTGGCCTGCAACCTAGGCATGTGCCCTGACTGGGAATCGAACCGCAGTCTTTTGGTTCGCAGGCCCGTGCTCAATCCACTGAGCTACACTAGCCGGGGTGAAAAAGTTTTTATTCTCTTAGCCCTGCTGTATATTTGCTTTGATCGTTTTAAAGTATGTGGTCTGTATTCCATAATTTATGGCCTTGAGGTTGCCAAGGGATAAAAACTTAGGAAAGGAAATTTGATAACTGGGGGCTTGTTTTCTTCTCTCCCATTGTATGTTGCTTGCCTTATTGAGTAAAGTGCAAGCTAGTTTGGATTTCAGTATGAAATAAATGGCATGTTTCCAAATTATCTTGACTTGGTTTCTGAGCAGTGACACGGGTGGGGAAGTCTAAAGTCTAAACTGGGTATGTTTTGCTAAGTGAATTGAAACCATCTCTCAGATAACCTTAAGTCTCTAGAATAGGAGATAAAAGTGGCTGGGACTACTCAAGATGTTTTTTCCCATCTCCTGGTGTAGAAATAACTCCTCAGTCTCCTGACGTAGGGTCAGCTCATTTTAGGTCTTTATTTTTGAAAATTGCCTGGCTTCATATCCCTGTTGCTCTGTGCCTTTATTACTTCCTATCTTACTAAATAGTTTTATATGTAATTTAATGAGGAACTTACAGTGGGTCTCAAACTTTAGATCATTTGTTCTAGAAAAGATTAAGATTTTTTAAAGTATCAGTTTCCCTTTGTGGACAGAAGAAAAAATTTAAGTGACATTTAGAGATGAGTATATAATAAGGGAGTCATTATGTGTGCTTTCTATGTGTTGCTTGCTACCCAGTGTGTTTACTGTTTTTCCAGATTTCTCCTCCTTGCCCTGCCCTTCAGCATTTCAGCTAGGCCCCTGTGCTCTAAGGGGCATTTACTATAGCACCTGTTAAACCTACTTGTAACTGTCTTTTTTTTCCTTTGGGCCAGGTCGGGGTATGATAGGTCGGGGAAGAGGGGGCTTTGGAGGCAGAGGCCGAGGCCGTGGACGAGGGAGAGGTGCCCTTTCTCGCCCTGTACTGACCAAGGAGCAGCTGGACAACCAATTGGATGCATACATGTCGAAAACAAAAGGACACCTGGATGCCGAGTTGGATGCCTACATGGCACAGACAGATCCAGAAACTAATGATTGAAGCCTGCCTGCCCTCCTGTGAGAGACTCTTGTTAAAGTTAACACGTCTGTAAATAACCTTGAGATAACAGATGAGAAGAAACCTACCTGATTGATGCTGGAAGGACCTATCAGAATAGACTATGGACTTAACTTGCCACCAGTTTGTGCATTTAGTGTGTTCCTTTTACTTTTTTGATACTATATTGTATGAAACCCTTTTTTCCTCTTGACTTGAATTTGGTTTCATTTTGTTGTTTTGGGTTTTTTTCCCCATCCTTCTCCCAGACTTCTCTTTGAACATGAATATGTTGGCCTTCTTTCCACCTCTACCTCCCCTCACCTGTTACATATGCCCTGACATTCTAACATCTCTATACCCTCTGGGAAAAGACCCAGAAATAATCCATCAGTGTTCTTCCCTGACACCTAGGTTTCTGAGTTATAGTTTTGTTCTGTATCACTCAAATAGACTCTTAGAAGTGTTGAGAAAATCTGGAGTTCAAAATGTACTCCGCCACATTGATATTTTAATGTAAGTTAGGGACATTGACCTAGCTACAAAGCCACACAACAGGTTATATACATGGTAGCAGCTCTGGTTTGATTAAAAGTTGCCACCATGTGCATTGATACCACATAATGTGTGCTGGCTTGGGTGTGTGCATACTCTCTACCCTGAAATAAGGTTTATAAACCTTCCTCTTGGCTTTGCATCACATCCAAAGGGGTCCTGTTGGGTTGGCTTATGCCTGAAATATGAAATAGGGAAAAGCCATTTGGTTAAGCAGGTGCTGCAGAAGGAATGGGAGAAATATAGTAGATAACCTGCTGAGGAGGGTTCAAAAGATACTCATTCTGAACATAATTCTTATGTTTATCCTAAACCAATCAGGCTTTTCCATACATTGGCTTTGTTTGACCATCTTATTTTTCTTAAAGGTTTGTAAGTTCAACCATATCCTGTCAACTGTCCCAGTTCCAGTGAAATCTTGTATTTCTGGTTTATTATAACAAGAAATCATTCACTCAGACCCAGCCAGGACTTTCTCTTTATTTGTTGTGCTCTTTGAAGTGCTATGGCTACTATAACAATATCTCGGTATACCCCTTGTAGAGCTGAGTCCTTTATAGTTGTGTTGAAATTCTGAGGAGGGGATATTGTGGATTTGGTATAGAAAGTGAAGAATCTGTCCACCTTTGAGTAAGCTTTGCAGAAAGATTAACCACACAGTAATGTACTGACCCACTTGGTCCATAGAGGACTCAGGCAAGGTGGTCTTGGGCAATATCTTGGACCCTAGCTCTAGTACCCCCTTTTCCCTGTACTGTGTAAGGGGTAGGAGCCTAATTATACCATTGAGGTACCTAGTACCCTGATCTTTTGAGAGGTGGGGTTTATTGCATGCCGGGAAGGAAATTTTGGTTAGGACATCATGAACTTGAATCCTGTTGGTTTGACCTAGGCTACTTGACTGTGCAGCAAGTGGTTTAGTCCATTTGGGAGAGCTTGAAAAGACCATGTGAGGGTGGAGGACTTAATTGCGCTGACATAACCAAGCTAACCTGGGTTCAAGTGTACTATTAAGAATGGACCATGAAGTATTTTTCTGTGGGCATGGCTAATGGTAAGGTTATCTCCTGTGGCAGGCTCCAAGGCTTCTGTGAGTGAGGGTGGTGCTAATTGGCAGTGGGCAGGCTACCTTGCAAACAACATCCCCTGGTTGCCTTGCATCAAGCACCCCTCAGGGCCTCTAGGGAACCATTAAGAAGAGGAAGAGGGAGCTGCAATATGAGTTGGGTTTCTTATCCTCTTTATACAGCCTGGGATGACGCTCAGCCCTCTCTCCCTAGTGCTTGACCCCTCCCCTAAGGTAGCTAATAAGTTCATTCCCCCAAAATGACATGTTTGTTTTTTTAATTATTAGAACTTTCCCTCTTTTTATCTGGTGGCTCTTGGTCCATCCTTGATAATACGAGAGAATCTTTCATCTATCTAAGGAGTGAAAGTGGCACAAAGAGCTCTGGAGCAGTATGACTAAAAGGGAACCTGGCTGGGTCCAGAAGGGGCTACAGTGGGTCCCTTCAACAGCTGTCCAATTATATAGAGTGCCCCAGTCTGTTTGCTCATGCTGGTCTCCACTTGGCAAGATTTCCAGGATAAAAACTGGAGCGGGTGGAGGGGCTAAGGAAAAGATGCTAGGGCCTAAATACCCAGGTCTTCTGAGACAGGAAATTCCCAAGGTGCTGGGTATACTTGAGCTGCTGTCTCCTAAGTCAGCCTCTTCTACCTCAGGCTACCCCTGCCCATGGTGCTTCCAGTCCAACTCCACTCTGCTGACTCATTGCTCTTAGTGCCCAATGGGACTGGTTGTCCAAAAGAACTTTTTTTGTTTAAATTTATTGATCTAAAAGAAAAGAACATTTATTCTACATACTCATTGGTTGCTTCTGGTACGTGCTCTGACAGGAGATCAAACCCTGCAACCTTGGCACTTTGGGACAACTCTAACTAACTGAGCTACATGGCCAGGGTTGTCCAAAAAGACTTGCCCCATGTCTTGTACACCCTTCTTTTGCACTGGCTCCACTTGGCAGTATAGGGGCTTGTGTTCTAGAATCTGTGAATCTTTGCTACTATGAAAATGTCGAGGCATGGCCTGGTGGTCAAGGAACACTGAGGCATCCTGGTGGGGTGGAGTGTGGGGGCTTTGAGGATCTCAGTAGAGACAGACAATGAAGTGACGGCTGGAGCTTAAGCCCCTCTTCCTTTCTGCCTTCTCTATATTCCTCCTCCATTTCCTAAAGTGGGTACAGGGAACCCCCTCTACAGTTCATGGGCTCTCTAGCCCCACCTATGCTTCTCACTAGTTGCAGTATCTCCTGGGGCTTGTGTCCTGTTCTGCTATCCTCTGTCCCTGGTGAGTGCTCCAGGTAGAGAGACAAGGAGAGTCAGCCTGGCTCCTGGGTGAGCTTTCACTCATTCAGCCACAGTCTGTGGAGGGCTTTCCATACAGACACAAGGCATTGTTAGAATGGCATAGGGAGCCCTGGCTGGTGCAGCCCAGTGGATTGAGCACTGGCTTGTGAACCAGTGGGTTGCCGGTTTGATTTCCAGTTGGGGCACATACCTGTGTTGCAGACCAGGTCCCTGGTGGGGGGCATGTGAGAGGCAACCACATATTGATGTTTCTCTCCCTCTCTCCCTCTCTAAAAATAAAATCTTTAAAAAAAGAAGAAAGAAAAAGAAAGGCTTAGGGAGCACAGAAGAGATCAATAAACTGGATCTTGAAAGTCAGTAAAATTTAACAGACAAGAGAAGAATATTCCCAATAAAGGCAACAATACTCTGGTTTCTCTTCAGATCATAGATATCTTTTGCCTTTTACCAAATAGAGGCAACAACAAATAACAAAGGTATCCAGACCTAAAAGAGTATGTCGTATGCCAAGGAGAGTTGAGTGGTAAGTGGGAATAAACCCAGAAACTGGGAACTGATGGTGTCAGCAGTCCCTAGTCATGGACCTCTTACCTTGAAGGGCTGGCAGGCCAGTAGGCCTGGGGCAGCTGAGGCCCCAGGGGGCCTCTAAAGCAAGAGGTGAGGGGTGGGCAAGCAAAGCTTCATGCAGCTCCTATTGCTTGAGTTACTGCCTGAGTTCCAATGCCCTACCCCATCGCACCCTCTCCCCCATCTGTGGAAAAATTGTCTTCCACAAAATTGGTCCCTGGTCCAAAAAGTTTGGGGACCACTGCTTTAAAGGATTTGTTTTGAGGAAAGAGTAAAAACTAGGGAATAAAGAAAATGGAGTTGCTTTAATCAAGCTGCTACAATTATCAACACTGTGAAAGAGGGCTCTTGTTCTAACCAGCCTGAGGACTTAAACTTTGAACTTTTCAGTCCTGCATCAATGCCTATAAATACATCTGGACCTCCAGATAACCCTCTGATTATGCTTTGAAGGACTCATACCCACAGCACTGGATTTGACCAGACCTCCTGGTGCCGGTCTTCCAGACCACTTGACTTATGACTGATAACCATCCTGGGGCTAAGAATGCGAGAATTTATTTTTTACTCTAAAAACTTGATTTTTCTTTCTTTGGAACACTTCTGCATTTTTTGCCTAGCTGCATTCCAAGTTTGCAAATTTTAAGATCCTTTAATGAATCTTTATCATTTATTTCTTGCAAAACCTCCGTTCTCTTTCAGTTTGACAACTTGATTCTCCATTTAGGCTTGATTTATTTAATTCCTTTGCTCTTTGGGGTAACATGATTATTACCTTAAGATTTAGTATGGCTCTGGCTGGTGTGGCTAAGAGGATTGAGCACTGGCCTGCAAGCCAAAGAGTCACGGGTTTGATTCCCAGTCAGGGTACATGCCTGGGTTTCGGGCCAGGTCCCCAGTGGGGGGCGGGGTTGTGGGAAGCAAGCACACACATTGATGTCTCTCCCTCTCTTTCTCTCTCCCTTTCACTCTCTAAATAAACAAATAAATCTTTTTAAAAATGTATGATTTAAACACATGTATGATGTGATATATGAGAAATATATTTGGTCTTGAATGCTGTTCCTGGCACAGAGCTCTTAAAACCCTAGGAATTTCATGCGATTAGAGCAATGGTGTCTTGTTATGCTAATGAGCCCCACAGGATGGGGGCTGGTGGCTAGTGGAGCCAACCAGGTGATTAGAAGACTGGAACTTTCAGTCCCACTCCCAGACCTCTGGAGAGGTAATAGGTACGAGAGGTTGAGTTATATTAATGAGGTGCTTTTGGGCCCCATCTGAAAGTGAAGGCTGGTTGCCAATCTTGTTATTAAAGAGATAGAAATTTCAATATCCTCTCCCCTTCTCCCCCCCCCCACCCACCCACCCTAGGGAAGAGGGGTGGAGGTTGAGTTCAAGCACCAATAGCCAATGATTTAATCAAACATGCCTATGTAATGAAGCCTCTATAATAGCCCAAAAGAAGGGTTTGGAGAGCTTCTGAGTTGGGGAACATGTGGAGACTGGAGAAAAGGGGAGCAACCAGAAGAGGTCACAGAGCCTGTTGCCATTTCACTATACTTTGCCTTCTTTCATTTCTTCCATCCAGCTGTTTCCTGAGTTACCTCCTTTTATAATAAACTGGTAATCTAGTAAGTAGATTACAAATGTTTGAGTTCCGTGAGCTGCTCTAGGCAAATTAATGGGACCCTAGGAGGGTATCACGGGAATTTATGAATTCTAGCCAGTAAGTCAGAAGCACAGGTAACAACCGGGACTTTCAAATAGCATCTGAAATAGGACGGGGATGGTGGTGGATCTTACAGGACTGAACCCTCAACCAGTGAGATCTGATGCTCCTGCCTGGTGGGCAGTCCAGGTAGATAGTGTCAGAATTGAGGTAAACTCTCAGACACTCAGCTGGTGTCTAAGAATTGCTTGTTAGAGGTGTTTAAAAAATAGAAAAAGAACAGACCAAAATGGAGTCACTTTTGCTAAGCTACATCACCAAACCAAAATTTAGTAACTAATTTAATTGCAGTTTCAATTCCTTCCAGGAGTTGAATTTTAAACCAATCAGTCTGGAATTACCTGGTCAGCACTACTAAGGTAATCTGCCTGATAAGACCCCCTGCCTTACCCTAAGGGAAGGGTCACCTTAAAAGGTGACCTTTCTTGAAGTAATTCATTCTTTTTTTTTTTTAAATATTTTAATTAATTAATTAATTAAGTTTTAGAGAGAGGGGAAGGGAGGGAGAAAGCATGGGAGAGAAACATCCATGTGTGGTTGTCTCCTATGTGGCCCCCACTGGGGACCTGGCCTGCAACCCAGGCATGTGCCCTGACTGGGAATTGAACCGGCGACCCTTTGGCTCACAGCCAGTGCTCAATCCACTGAGCTACACCAGCCAGGGCTTTTTTTTTTTTTTTTCTAAGATTTTATTTATTTATCTTCAGAGGGGAAGGGAAGGAGAGAGGGAGAGAAACATCAATGTGTGGTTGTCTCTCGTGTGTCCCCTGCTGGGACCTGGCCTGCAACCCAGGCATGTGC